ATTCCCTAGAGTATCATTTCTTTGTTTTACCGTTGCACACGAGAAATCATTTGAATATAGAACCCAAACAAAGAATCTTATTATTCTTAGAGAATGAAACTTGGTCTGTAAAAGAATAACTAATTGTATCTGACCTGTGAAAACTTGCTGTCTCCAAACCACTTAATCCAGTGGTTTCCTGGATTTGGTGCAGAACGGCGAGCCTCCAGGTAAGACACCACCTTTCCTGGCCACCAGTCAAATCCTTTGAGCTTGGCCCACACTAGATCACCAGTTGAGAAGCTGACAGGTGCTTCAACCTGGAAATATGTAGAAAACTATGATGTGAGTGGTGATGCTAAAACAGATCTGTACTTAATAGTCCCCTTCACAGTTTCCCTGTACCATTTTGAAAGGTAGCAGCGCCTTTGCATTGAAGAGGGACAAACGGTGAGCTCCCAATAATAGAGAGATATGAATAATTGTTCAAGTCTATCATTGCAAGCTCACTGTTTCTCTTGCTTCGATGCAAAGGCATGGCTGAACAGTCTTTTGAGATACAAAAGATTTTGAGCACAAAAATAGGGTCTATTTTATTGATCTATGATCATACATCACTCGCCCCCTACCCCACCCCCACCCCCCTTTGTGGGCCCCTTACTTATAGACTCTGTAGTGACTAGTGTCATCTAGCAATATAAAGCCTTGTGTAGTATGAACCAAATCAAAATATGGCAACCAATTTAAATAATTATTGTTCTGCACCAAATAGCCTCATGTTCACATGGAAACATAGAAGTGCTTTCACATGCATGCATATGAAAGGTTAGTCAGTCGCTGTCAGACATGTGGATTACGTCCAAAGAGCCCTGGGGGTACTCTTGCCTGTTTAGGGTAGGGATGTGCTGCTGAGCCCTGAGAACCCTGACCCTTTTCAAGTAAAATCGCTGAAACTCATCCCTTGTAAGATCGTATATAAAAAGCCCTTTTCAGGTACTTGCAATAATAGATACCCTGTTTCAGAGAGTGTGTGTGATTTCATACACCCAGCTGTTCCAGAGCATGAGTGTGATTTATATACCCTGTTCCAGAGTAAAAATCGCTGAAAACCATAACCTGTTCGGCGACATGTTCCTGCATAGTGAATATAGTGGAGTAACCCCTACCCCCTGGGTCAAATAGGTCTATTGATGAATCTTACAACTYCAGTGTAGAAACAAAATCAAACAAAATCGGAAAAGAAAATCAGTAAATCAGCAACTTCTGGATTTGAGGTTATGCCCACATATTCACTGCCATTTTAAGAGTCGTCAATGCCAGCAAAAAGAGAAGTACCTTCATCTCGCATTTGTCAGGTATTGCATAGCCATCATTTTTTTGGCTGGGCACATCAACCTTTTGCTTCTTTGCTGTCTCAAGTGTTTTTGTTTGTGATTTCGATTTTCTCTTTTTCTTTACATAACCATCACAGAAATTCAATCTTCTTTTGGCTTTGCATGGTCTTTTGGGACTCGTAACCTCTGCAGAAATCTAAACAGATTAAATGGGAGAAAATGGAATGAGGAAATTGGGAAGAATTATGAAAAACAAAATAGAGTTAATAGATTGGCCTTTGAAAGTTCTGCCGTTCATTGATAGAGCAGTATATCATGTTATTGGGGGAGAGGTAGGTGAATAAAAATAAAAAAAGGAAATAAAAAAATATATACAAAGAATCCATCAAAAACGTGGTTTTGTCGGAAAAATACATGATGGATTCCCCCAAAGATATCAACGTATTCCACTGGCATTCTTAAAGGCACGCATGAAACATCTTTAATTCTAGGCACTTAAATATGCTTGAATTCCTGGGCCCGCCATATAAATACATTTTATTTTTGTATTTTATATTTATTTCATATTTGCTTTGGTTTTGATTTTTGATTTTATAAAATGTGGCTTTAAAAAGGTYCCTAGTTTGCTCTCATATTTGTTCTTTTATCATATGACCCGTACGGCCCTGCTCGTGYGCTCTAATAAAACCATTGGAAAAAGTCATGTGATGGGGGCCAGACGGGTTGACGTAAGYGRGCCRGAAAAATTCATCTGGCCCTGCTCGAATCCGCCCACTTTCTTTTTTTAATTATTTTCATTTTTGTGAGGGTCATACGATAAAATGCTTATTGACTGAGTTAGGTCGGGCCATACAGGAAAATATTTGGCTCTTGGTCATTTGTGCCGACCTCGCTGTGCTTGGTCCGTACGGCATCACCTCGAGCCAAATATTTTCCCATACGGCCCTCCCACTCAATCAATAAGTACATATTATCAAACTGCCGTAAGAAACATACACATTAATTTGTAAAATGTTCTGTGACATAAACAGGATTGTTTGTGGGCGAAGCAATCATACATATTTTTCCAGTGGTTTCCATAGTTTGTAATAGTATTATTTACAAAATGTCCAAAAATATGATGTAGTTTTTGAATGGAAAAATTGATGTCAYTGCTGTTGATGTGGCTTTGTGAGTGTGTTAATATAAAAGGTATGTTTAGCCCGTATAGACCATTTATAAATTTGGACAAATATATTCATTATACATATTCTCATCTTTGCATTAAATTACTGCTACCTAACATCTATTTCACCCCGGTCTGCTCTCAGTCTGACCTCTAGCTCAGCTGGTAGAGCATCGGTAGTACAATTCCGAAGGTYGTGGGTTCGATTCCCAGCCAGGTCGGAACTTAATTCCAAGGGTCTTTCACCCRGAATAACCTTGTTCCCAAGCAAATATAACTAGCTAAAAACTAGTGTGAGCTGCRTCAGTGTTTCTAATGAAACAGTAATGATAAAAAGGTAAATTATACACCGTGAAAAAGATGAAAAAACTTACTGACGTTTCGGATGCTAGTCCTTCGTCTGAGTAAAAAAGCTTGTTCCCAAGCACTATAACTTATCTATATAATTCTAAATCTTCATGTTATTCATTGATTAAATGCAGACAATTTACTCCGGGTTTAGCCTCATATCACTGTCTAAATATTCACAAATCAACAGTCAAGTAAAGAATACATGCACAACTTCAACAATACAAACACTTTGAAATTCCATCTTCACTGGAACACATGAATATTATTGCACAAAAACGAGGCCATCGCTGAGTGATTGTAGAAGTGCAAACATGCTAAAAACGGCCTCTTGCAGATATTTCATGACCATGAATTTAGTTCAGGGCAATAATCACTTATATTTACACGTGAAGTCACACACACAACTCTAAGATATGCCAGATTAAATTAAAGCAAGCATGCAGTTGTAATATGAATAAACAAATGATGTAAAAACCCTAGATATTACTAGTTTATTATCATTAGAATAGCCATCTAAACGTGAAAACAATAGGTAAAGGAGATGTTGTAAGTATGAAAGAGTTAGGTGATGAAATGACTATGAAAACAACCAAGTTTTAATCCAGTTAATGCACTCATTGGGTCTCAGCTTTTACGAAAATGATATGTATATGTTATGTGTGCATGTCGTTATAACCATTGTGTTACTGTAACATCCGTTTCAGTGGAGCCCTGCTATTAATTAAATCCACATATGCCATGGATTCGTATGATATCGGGGTTGAAGGTCAAATTCCACAGATTCCTCCATATCTCTTTGTTTACTTGGTTACTATCAACTCTAGGATAGTTTTCTGATTCACGGTTGAGCAGGTTTGCCCTAGGGACCCCTCCCTCGTGTCATTCAGGCAATGCCCTTAGCACGTGGCATTGATGGACGAGAAGAAAAGACCAAAAAAAATCCATAAATTTGAAACCATCTTGAAGGAACATTGTAGCAAAAATTATCTAAAAATGCTGCTTAAATATAAGGTTTGGTTTTGACGAGTTTGCACGTGTAAGAAGCACAATTTTTGCATCGCTTGCAAGCCCAAGGTGGTATTATACACTGACTAGTCCTTGCATGTGGAGCTCATTAAGCTTGTCAAACATCAGAACAAACACAATACAGAATCAAGACTGAAGCACTCAAAACACAAAAGAAACGGCTTTTACTAAAGCTACCTTGTTTAGTTGAGGAGTAAGGGATTCTTGATTCAAAGGAGCTACCAGATCAGCCTTGCCGTCCATTATTACAGCCCAGAGGAAAAGAGATCAAACAGGCAGCGGACCTKAACTATATACAAGTCAATCAATCAATTGTAAATGTTAATTAATGTTTAACATAAATAAAATGTCGCTTTGACTATTGGCTTCACGCAAGGCGGGTCGATACATTAGTTTGTCTTTGGCAAAAGAGAATCACGGTATTAGATTGATAAATGATCGCAGGGAAGACATTTTTGAAAATGCCTACGTTCACTTCTACCCTGTTTCATTCATGCAACGCATAAAATCATTGATTTATGAAATTTTGACAGCTAAGGGAATACTATACGTTACGGTTAGGTTGGGGAAACTTGCAAAAGAAAATGAGAAAGGATACGAATGAAAGAAACTAAAAGAAAGAAGAAAGGAAAGAAAAAAATGAGGAGTTTTAATAAAACCACAAAAAGCGAAGTTAAAGACCGTCAGCGACAGCATAGGAGTTTAGAGTTAGTACTGTTCAATTTTTATTTCGAAGATTTTTTAGCCCAGACGTTCAGTTTTGTTCAGTGGGGTACGTTCGGCTAACGGGCAACGAAATCGCGCGACATTGTTTCAATTTTTTGATGGTTGTGAGAATATGAGTGCGATTAATTCAGCCTTTTTCAGGCTCCATTATTTAATGTAGTCTCCCTCGCATCCGTGACGACCGACACTAAAAAACGGATGCAAGAGAGATTATATTTAGAGTAGATGTCAGCAAAAATCAAACAAAATC